CGAGAACAAGACAAGCTCATAACAACAGCTCCTCAAAATACTCTCCCAGGCTCCAGCAATTCTTGACCTATGGGTCAAGGATTTCCTTATATAGAAATACCACCTTTCACTCAATGCCCTGCAATAGATTTTTTCCCCCCACTGATTTGCCTAGTTATCCGTTGAACTCAATATATCCTCCATATGCAAAGAATCCTGCAGTTGGGAGCTTCACAGTTAAGTAAATTATATCATACTATAATCATTCCCAAAACAATGTAAAAATATCTAGATTGAGAGCTGAACTGATGGACCTACTTTTTATTACTGTGCACTACAGAGACTGGTCAACCTGGAATCTTAAAAGCCGAAAGAACAACAGTTTCGAACATTTAACTGAAGTATCACTTAAATTTCAAAATGTGTTTGATTTATGCACTTACTGGAGCACTGTATTACAGGAGGACAGTGAAACCAGTGCACAAAACAAGCCTTCTGAATTAGCAGAGTGCTTATGACACACACTTAAAGAGTGAATTAATCGCAGCCCTGGCACTAACCTGTTGTGACTCTCAGGGTTTTTCACTTCACCTCACTATATATTCAGTTTTTTCATTGTACAATAGACATAATGATACTTCTCCTGCTTTTTGAAGCCTTCTGAGAATAGTAGCAATAAAAGTACTACATTAAAAAAGAAAAATACATTTATATTGAAATGTATCTATTCACTAAGAGCCATCAATTTCTAACTTGCTAGTTAAATCATCTTTATAAGCATTCATTCACACAAAAAGAATATGAAAAAATTACCTGCTCATTTTTGCAGATCCACACTGTATTCCCCTGAAGTAGAATAAAAATTTTGGCTTTGTATCCTTTCAGTTCAAGATATCCACATTTCTCAGGGGCAACAGAAGTTCGAGGCTGAGAGTTATTATCAGACTGCGATTTCAAGGCATTAAGCATCGTATTAACCCAGTCATTCCTTTCTTCTAACAACAAAAAATTAGACAAAGACAGGTTATATGTTAAGCAGCAGCTTCATTCTTCATTACCATACTGGGTTTCCTATTCTTTCTATTATGTTATGCTGTCATATGGAATAACTGTACCAGATCAGAGGATCCAAGTGAACATTCACTTTGAATAGGATGTGGGAAAGGAGAGAAGGAAGGAAGGAAGGAGGAGGGGAAAAAAAAGTGGGAAAAAAATAAGCATAAAAAAGCACAACCCCTGCCAGTGGAGAGATTAGAAAAAATAGCCATTCCCTTGACTTCCAGCATTCAACAGGTAAACTGAAAGTTATAGAAACTGATGATCCATACTCAAAAAATTGTGTGTACTTGAATGCTTAATTTCAGAAAGCTCCAAGACTGAGGCCATAGGGGTGGAATGTCCCCAGTCTGGAAGATCAATGGAAAAAAAGCTACAGAAGTTACAAGAGCAAAACTTGTGGAGCCTATCTGTCACTGAAGAGACAAGCCATTCCCCATTCTATGTGTGGCCAGGTTTTATGCAAAAACATTTGGCAGCTTACCTACTCCATTAAGGTATAGTGGCTAAGCTTGATATTGGGAAGGGAACTGAGTAGCTGAAAAAATACGCATTTAAATGTCTCTTGAATGCATTATTATTATTCAAAACATTGTAAATAATTGATAATTACTAATTAGGAATAATTAATAATAACAATAATTGTGCATTATTAATGTCATAAGTTGATAAACAAAGGTAGGTATAGTAATAAAATTGCCCTCTGTCCACTGTGTTTACACATTCACCAGATTGATAAAAATATATTTTGATGCTGAGTAGTTTGAATAAATTTGATCCGTCCCCTGTGATACGAATAACGTGAAAATTCCAGTTATTTCCTCTGAAGGTTGTGAAATTTTAACTACATATACAGGGTGGCTCACCAAAGGAAAAAGAAGTTCTGCTCATAATGTAAAGTTCACAAAATCAGTTCCCAGCATTTCAGAGTGCCACCAAAACAACAGTGCATTTACTTCTTAATGTATTAAGAAGGAACAAATAAAGGAGCTTAAGAATGGGGGAATTATTTGAAGAGGAACACAGTAGCCTGACAACCTACCACGGGGATGATGGATGACCTGAGTATTCATTCCTCTTGAGAGTATAAGTTTTAAAACAAATTCTTAAAACTGTTTGAAAATAGTTTTTTAAAAAATACTGGAATTTTTAAGAATAGTTGATGGTATCATATTATCCTAAAGTATTTTTAATACTGTTTCACTACAATCAAATAAAATCTGATTATGTTTGGGCAGATTATGCATCTAAATCTGTATTATCAATCAATAGAATTTTTTTTTTTTTTTTTTTTTTTTGCCTCAAGATGCTCCTAAGCTCCCCAAAGCATTACATATAGAGTTTTTTACATTTGGATATTTAAATGAATCAAAAAATAGCATTACTTGATATAACACCAAAAAAAGAAATCGCAACACAGTGTGAACAAAATGAACACTACAGTCTATAGATTGAAGACTGATAGTGGTACCAAGAGACACAAGTTGATGAAAACAGCAATAGGATTCTGTATTTTAATACTCTAACAGAAGGAAAGGAAAGCTAATAAATAAGGTCCACAGTATGAAATTTTTATATAAGTCTCCACTTCAAAATCTTTGAATAGAAGTTAAACACCCTAGGAATAACCCCAGCGCAATTTTCAAACACAAACTCACAGAAGGACTAGAATCAACTAACAAGTTTCTGCACATACCAGAGAGAAAGCAGGGTTGTTTACATAGTTTACTGTGAATACATCATTCAGCTCTGGATATAGTAAGGACAAAATTGTTTGTCCAACGCACATTTCTAACCTTAAGTGAAATGCTTTAAAGACAAGCCACTCTGTCCAAAGAAGGTTACGTATCAAATAAAAATACAACTTCATGTGTAACAAGCGGCTGTTCTGAATACACAATACTAAATGTTTTATAAGCAAGTATAAGTTGTTAATGTTTTTATAATATGCAAAGGCAACAGTCCATAAAGCAAATTATGGCCTGGCAAAATTCATGTATTGCTGCTACGTTACAATGTATTACAAAAAAAAAATCTATTTTAAAAGAAAGCAAAGTCAAAAATAATAAAAGAGACATGCTTTTTAACTAAGCTAACAGCATAAAAATGCCTGAAAAGATCTGAGCCAAACCTGATAAGGATTTGTTCACTGATGCTGCATTCCTGTTACAGCCTAGAGTGAATGTTTACAACCAAGCTATAACCCATAAAAATGGAAGTTGATGATGGAAATGTGAAGAGATCCTAAACTGTAATGGTGCTGGCATGTGCTGCTGCAAATACATATTGCATATCTTTTAAGTACTCCTTAGGTATTCCATTTTATTATTTCCATAAATAAGTTAAATCATATATTCACTAATAGTGATTCCACATATTATACCTCTTGGTTGATAAAGCATTAAATTAGAATATACAAAAACTTCCCATTTACATTTGTATTCTCTATCAATACATTGTTGAAAATACTGTATAAGACAGTAAAAAAACACCCACAAAAATCCAAGTTCTCTTTGTTCACAGTATCACATCCAGCCAATCAACTTCATTGATGCTCTTTGTCAATTTCATATCAAGTAGTGACTCAGAGCAGATGGCTGAGAACACACAGACTCTAAGTGCTTCTAGTGAGTGCTAAGAAGTGCCTGGGAAACAAAAACATCATGTTTGGGAAGCACAGAGGAAGAGGCAAGAGCTGGAAAATAGCATGCCTTTTTTTTTTTTTTTTTTTTTTTTTTTTTTTAAAGTCATTCCCCAACAAATTCCATGCTTCAAAGCAGATCTTTCTACAAACTAAGCCTATCAAAGTTTAAAGGATAGGATTATGCTAAACATCTTAAATCAGATCCTTCAAATACCAGCATAATAGAGATTTTCTGATGGTCTTGCCAACCCACTTTGGACTGTGTTCCTGAGGAAACAGGCTTACACAGTTACACTTTGTGAACTGACATATGCTTATCTATCTATTCATCTAATGACTTTGAAATCCACTAGAATATATCAAAACTATTTTAAACAGGAATGACGGTATGAAAGGTAAGTTGCAAAATATGTATAACAGTTTTTGCAACTGTTCAGCCTACCAGTTGCAACTGGTCAGCCTACACCTATCACACTTTGCAGAAAAGGTGCTTTTGCATGAGCACAAATGATCTTCTGTGGAAAATTTCAGAGACTGTAATATATCAAACTTTATTCAATCTGGTGTCCACAGAAGCTTTATTATTATTATTATCAAAATACAAAGGTTTCAGGCATGGAAGCGAAATGAGAAATTTCCTAGATCTGTTTCAAGCAGATCTCAATAGTAAGACCTAAGAAGTAGTATTAATCGCAATTCATTAATCCAACTACTCCACAGAATCTGGGAGAGGCCTTCAAGTTCTAGAGATACAGAATAAATCCACTCTTTTCTCAAAATAAATAATAAAAATATATGTGTGTGTATACTTTTGCATATAAACACACACACAAAACTTCTCCACAGTCCTAAAACCTCAGTAGCCACGTCCATTGTACCTAGACCATAATTTAATTTAGATCAATCCAACTACTCCACAGAATCTGGGAGAGGCCTTCAAGTTCTAGAGATACAGAATAAATCCACTCTTTTCTCAAAATAAATAATAAAAATATATGTGTGTGTATACTTTTGCATATAAACACACACACAAAACTTCTCCACAGTCCTAAAACCTCAGTAGCCATGTCCATTGTACCTAGACCATAATTTAATTCAGATCTAAATCTAAAAAGAATTTTTAATCCAAATCTCACTTTATGAGCCTAAGATAGCTGGATTCCAAACATACTTCTGATGGTGTGACTTTACAAACATATCACAAACATATTTATCAGCAGTCACTACCACGACTTTCTAGCAGTCATCACTAGAATCACATGGCCTGCTTACCTTCTTTATCCACCCGGAAGACAAAAGTCCTGTGGGATGTGACGACTTCAAATTTATTCTCCCCGTGAACTCCTACTGTTGCTATTGCAGAAAGAAGGATTATTCCCTTAGAAAACACTTCCTGCAATAGAAACACCATAAAAATAGTTAATAAGTCTCAGGGAATATTAAATATCTCTCTCGTTTAGATACCTGATCTAAATGTCACATTACTTGCTGTGACGTTTAGGAGGTTTATGTATTCAGACAGTGCTCTTAAAAGTTCATAATATTATTAATAGAATTTGTACCAAATAGTAAATTATTTTACTACCTACATGTCACCAGCTTCACTGTTACGCCTCTATGCAAACCTGCTGACTTAAAAAATAGAGTAAAATCCCACACTAACATATAATGCACGTGGTATGCATATATATGAGACTCAATTTCATGAATTGTCTTGAGACACTAATATTTCAAAATATCATGCCCTCACCTAAATGTACAATTGCATATTAAAATTAATTATCTCACAAAATCTTCATTAAAAATAAAATGCTCTTTGAAAAGAACGAGATAAGAAAAAAAAGAAAAAAAGGTACCTTTCTCAGGTATCAACTTTCCAAACTTCAGGTATCAACTTTCCAAACTTCTGATGAGTCAATAGCAAAAAGGGTAAATAAATGCACTGATTTTATCTCTAATCATAAACTGAAAAGGAGTCACCGGTTCTCTGCAAAAATCTATTACCCTGTCAGTATTAAAGAGAAACTTCTAGCTTGGCTTGGTTCTCTTCTACTGTACAAAGCGGAAGGAAAAAAATCCCCTGTAATCATCATTTGGTGCCAAATTTCCAAGTTTTCCATATTTCAACTATGCAATCAGGACTCTTGAACTTAAAACAAGTAAGGAAAATAGAATTATCGCAAAACTTAGATTTAGATTTTACTGCTTAAATTAATGAACCACATGCAGGAATGTCCAAGAGTCAGCTCCCCATAAGGGCTTTGCATTACAATAACTTCCTTCCTAAAGTATAAATTATTATAATAAGACTGTATAAGGCCTCAAGGTACCACTGTGATGTACCACATGTTGCTATAACTGCAGCATACCCTTCACTCTGTCAGCCAGAATGGTCTTAGTACTATGTACCCATTCTTATTACGGCTGTACTTGTTCAAAGAGATTTTAACACAGCAATTTTGTATTTGCTAAAAGAGTGAGATCTTGTGTTAACTACTGATCCTTCACAGTAGCAAAGCAAAACCTTACATAGATGTTATTTCTAAAGGTGTTTGAAAACGACTATATTATGGTGTTTGCAGGCATCTACTGGCAGTACTTGGTACTGTAAGAGAATACCTTAGACTACTGTAAGTATATAAGCTGTAAGTAATAGCTATATTATTTCACCTACTTCTTAAAAAGTGGTTTCCTTTTTAAGCTGAGCAGTTTTGCTTTTGCTTTTTAAACAGCTAAAACTGTCTTTAAGTCTTTATTCTTCAAGGCAAATATATTTCCAGATACAGTTTAAACCATGAGAACTTCTCAATCATATTTCTGTAGCTCTCTAATATGCTTTAATCTCTAATATGCTTCTCTTTCATATGCAAGAAATAATGCCTACTATTTCAAGATTTCTTGTTGATCGAGACTGAATTTCTCTCAAATACTCTAGACAAGAAATTAGGTGAATTATTTTAAAACAAAAACAAAACAAAAAAAGAAAAAGAAAGTAAAAAAGAGGAAAAAGGAAAAGAAAGAAAAAAGAGGAAAAAAGTAATCAAGCTTGTTAAGATCAATTCCTTTAAGAGAAATGTTTACTTTCCAATACAATTCAGTGAAGCCCTTCCTTGCTAGATATGTTTCAGAGCTGTTCTAAAAGGCCTATAAAAACACGATTTGGCACTGTTTTGGGTTTCCTTCTGCAACAGATGAACTATGACTTATTCCAAGAATGACAGTGATTCTTCTGCTTCCCTAGAAAGTTTCGCTCATGGTTAAGCTCAAAAGCAACATAACATATTTTAATACAGGAATTACTTTCCCAATAAATCACTAATACATTTCTCAGGGTTCCTAAGGTGCTTTTAAATGAACCCAATCAATAAAAGCAGGAGTTTTGCCTTATTGTAAAGTGTGCTGTACAGCACCAGAGATGCTCTACTGAAAGCAGGAAGAACTCCCAAATAAAAGCTACGCATAACTGGTAGCTGAAAAGAATTCTCAAACTGTATCTTCCTTTCTTGAGCTTGTTCTTGCTTCTGTTAACCACATTCTGTTAAAGACAAAACCACACAGGATGTTGCTCTGACCGCATCATCTTGCGAACATATGAAATCAGCAGCATCAGTGATTCAAGCAAAAACAGTTCCTAGGTCAGATGCTGCTTGTAGGAAATGAATATTTTTCTTCATATATGCAGGTACAAAGGAAAGAAGAGATCTGTATTGACTAAATGGAGACTCTCAACAAGATCAAGGTTAGACAAAGGTTTAGGCAACTCAGGTTTAGATCACCCAGAAAAGCATTAGGGTGGGCCTAATGTGCATGTTTTCATGAATGTTCCTCTCCTACTCCTCCACACACTTCTCTCTTGATTAGCCATGTAGCACAATTCCCCTTTTTAAAAATTTAATTCTGTTGTAGGATGTACTTTTTGGACAACAATTTCTTTTAAGTTCCTAATTCAAGTGACAAATAGAGTGTTTCTAGATAAAATAAACGCTCTTTTTAAAATCATTCAGTCTACCTGAAAACTCCTTGCAATAATCAGGAAAATATCTCTGTAAGGATTGGTTTTCTTCTGAGAACCATTTAAATTGAGATTTGAAAAGCTAAGAGTATAACACTTCCTTCAGAAATAGGTTGTTTGTGTAGGACTGTTCTTGGACAATGACATATTAGGAGAGAGGGGTCTGATCATTTAAATCTAGAACATTAAAAAAACCAGCTTCCCTATTTAAATATAATTAGTCATTTAAAACCCAGTCAGAGGACAGACATGTTGCCTGAGCACTGAACTGTATGATTGTGCCAGCTTTTATTAGAACAAGCAGTGCTGACTCCTGAGCTGCATGCAAGGCCTGAAGTGTCTGCTGATAGTAACTTACAGTGTCGAGGTAGCAACACACAAACAAATGCAATGTGCTGGTAGCCATTACCAGGTTATGGGAGAAGTGATCCAGCAGAGATCACTGGACCAAAAACTGCATGTCCCACAGTGATACCACTGCTCAGTCCAGCACAGTCCAACTTTGCACAGAGAACTACAGGTAGATGGTATATTATCATCCTATCTACAAACTACTGCAAGAGTTCCATCAAATCCTCAGCTGTCAGTTTGTTTCGGGCCTTGCTAAAATCTTCATATATCTGAGAAAAAGTGACTCATCAACTTAAGAAGTCAAACACTTGGGCATGGTCAAATTGCACACAACAGATCAACCAGCATCTCTCTGTATCCCAGGAGTGAGGTTTTCTACTCAGCTTACAGGAGAACAGAGTCAAAGAAGCTTCAAACCAAGCCTTTTCCAAGCTTCTGATATCCAGCCCTTTCAAAGACCTTTGTGTAGAAGAGCTAGGGAAGGTAGCTTCTTATGAGTACTATAGCATGTTAAAAACTACCCTAAACACAAAGGAGGATTCAAGATTCCTGGGATCTTCTATGACATGAAGCGAAAATAAATAAATAAATAAGCAAGCAAAAAAGGCCTAAGCCAGAGTTAGTAAGCTCAAGCTGTTTAGTACAATCAACAGGAACAACCACAACAAATTAAAAAGGGCCCCGTAGAGCTATAAGATTGGATGTAATAGCACTTCTTTCCTCAATTATGCTACAGACTGTGTTACACAAATATCAATGCTTCATTCTCCAAGCCTTTCTTAATGACTAATGCTGCTTTTCTTCTCTAAAGCTCTGTGATAAACACACTAAGAAGCTAACAGGTCACTATCCCTCCAGTACCTATGTTATTCTATTGTTCTTTTCACCTATCCAGTCATTTCTTTTACTTTAAGTGAAGCTTGTTAAGAAAGCATGAACAGTCTCAAGTTTCTGATCAGTTGGCATGGTGAGAATCAATGGAAATTATTGTTTGAATCTAATTTCCCTGGTCCTTTGGGACCCACTTGATTTTTTCTAGCTTCTATTTTTTCCCTTCATAATCTACTAAAACAGGCTTAAAAGTGTTGACGGAATTCTTCCTGTTTACAACAACCCAACATAATACTCAACAACTTTTACTGGAAATTGTATCTTGTTCCAAATTTAATATGCATATTCAGGAAGCCTTACAGTGTTTCAAATAATATACATGCATATAATGTCACCTCCACCAAACAAGCACATTATATGTGTCTGCCATTTTTAAGCTTAATGGGATTTTTATTTCTCCTAAGAGAAATTAAGTAAACTAATCATGTAGCAGCAGCAGAAGTTTTGTGGTGAGCTCAAGTGTACTGGATAGACAGAAAACAAATATAATGAGAAATATTTTCAAGAAAAATAAAAAAGGCAAGCAGAGAAGTTTTAAATACAGGGTCCTAAAGAACACCATATATTCTTTGTGAAAAGCAGTAGTAAAAGGTCAAATAAGTCTTTTGTGAATCTTCTTTTTGTACAGGAAACACAGTTTCTCTTCAAAGGAACAATCTATAAATGCATTTTAGTATCACAAATCAAAAAGAACTACTTTAATCAAAATAGCTTTCTAAAATTGGAAAGAGAGACAGGTCTTTTGACTAGGGTTAAGCTAGGGTCATGATAAAACTTTTAGCAAGAATCAGTCATAGCTAAAGAAGCAAAGACGAATCACTGATATCACAGCACTATGCTGATTTTTAACAGACCCAAATGCAAGCTAGTCTAATGTTTTGTGTTTTTCTTCTGGAATATATACAAGAGAAAAAAAAAAAAAAGGTACTCCTTTTCAGTTTTAAAGTGTTCCGTGCCAAGCTTAAACTTTGTTCTTTCAAACAAAACAAAACAAAACAAATCCAATGTAATTTGGCACTACCAGTAGAAATGACACTTGATTTTGTGGTTTGCACGATTCTGTTCTATTTCATAGAATTCAGCAGCCTTCCCCCTTCAATACAATACGAAGTTCTGATGAAATCTAACAAAAAAGGTCAGGATCAAAAGCAGGAAAAGAGGATTAACGAGAAATTAAGATCTGAAAGACACCTTGAAATAATGCCGCATCTTAATCTTTTGCAATTGGAAATACATCTAATAATATTTATTTGTACTTTTAATGAATTCTTTCATGGTCCTTATTATGTTACAGAGATATATTTTGTTCCAATCACCACATAACTTACCTTTTCATTATTGTAATAGGAAATGCTGTCTCCATCAAACTTGACCCAGCGTTTCTGAAACATTCGTTTGCTGTGGATAAAAAATTAATACAATTAAAATGATGACAAATTGCACTCATTTTTAAGAGCACTGGAAATACAAATCATACAAAGGCCAAAGCATATTTTAACTTACTGTGTTTCAGCCTAAGCATTTAGAAAACTGAAGTAACATGGCTAACATATTTTCAAAAGTGGAATGAATTTCAAATATAATAAAAATATCAAACGTGAAAACAATAAGTGTAGCATTAATGGACTTATTCTATAAATCAGTGTCTTTCTCATATTTATGAAGTGTTTTTACCCTCCTTCCCATGTGAGCTGTATCACATTTGAAGTGATGAGAAAAGAGCCTCTCAGTAACTTAATTATCCTGCTCCCCAGAATAAACAGTGATTTTTACTAACTGACTTCTGCACACCTCCTGCTCCACTCCTGTAGGCAAAACTTAGGTCCATTATCATCCTCATAGGACTTACTGTCCCCAAGGCCTGGGTAGGAAGCCTAGAACCAGAGCCTCACCGGAGGTCTCAGATGTTTATGAAGCAATGGAGCCAGCAGGGCATAGCCCTCCCATCAGCTTAGTTCACTCACTAAGAAGATTTGCTTTGGCCTTTATATGACACTGCAATGGTTTCATTTCCGTGAAATAGTCTATTCTTGCAAAAATGAATCACTAATCTGTCCTGATAAACTTAGAGTGGAAGTAAAAGCATTTCAGAAACTCCAGTTATTCCTGATTATATCTATTTTCAAAGTCCTCTAGCTCTCTCCCAGAAAGCACAAGAAATACATGGAAACTAACAGGTATAAAGGAGGGTAGGCTGTTTTTCTCAGAGTTGGAGAAAAATCTGAATACAGGGCATACTTTTACGAGATACACGCACTGTAAAGTCTCCAAAAAGGAAAATCAAGTCTAAAATGTCTCTCTCAACGTATCATGAGAAGAACATCTCTACAAGGTATATCTTCCATCAGCCACCTCTTCTGCACACTCGCTTCCCTGCCCTTCATCCCAGGCCAACCAACTAATGGTGGTCATCCCAAATCATTCAACAAGTACAATATAAAACTTCATTTTCCATCTATGTTATCTGCTGGAGATCATTGATTATTGTCTCAGTTTACTGCTAACTCACTCTATAAGGACTTGCTTAAAAAATTATTTTTCACAAACCTTACGTTCTTCACTGTGTTCATTAAATGTTGACAGCCTATTAGTTAGGGTCTATATAAGAGTTTCAATTCTAGAATCCATTAAACAGTTAATTAAGCAAGAACAAGAACCTACTCCAACATCTCTTTTCCCAATATTATTCTCTTTCCTATTAAATGAGTGCTCTGCTTTAGGATTAGTAGACTGGGATAGTTTATCAAAACTTTAATTAAATAGCGGCTCTGAGTTAATTAACTGGTATTATATGACAATAATACATCATATTTTTCTTAAACTGGAAAGGCTAATGTAAAATCTAGTTTCCATTAAAATGACAATAAACTTCATATGGTACAGTGAAAACTGAATTTAGTCACATATATGATGAGAATAAACTCGATAACTTTAAATGTAGAGTGAGTTAACTAAAGAGAAACTGTATTTTAAATGCACAATTTGCAGCAATTTAAGGAAACAGTTTCAAAAGCCTTCTCTTGAGAAGGCTCAGAGTGCTAGGTGTAAATGAGGTGGCTTAATTAAAAATAAATGAAAACAACAACAAAAAACCTCCACCAACCTCAAACACTCCAAAAAAAAAGAAAAAAAATAAAATTCAATTGGTATGGATTGAAATGAATCATGACATGGTTTTAATAGATGGATAATTCACTATTCTCTTTGTTTTTTTATTTAAGGAAGAATTAGTGTTTAGATATTTGAGAAATGGTATTATAGGAGAGAGAAGAAATAAAAAAAATCTGTTTAGTAAAGCACATTTAAGAACAAGTCCTTTAAATTTAACTAGCGAATCTCAGTGATTGAAAACTAATTACACTCCAATTGTTCCACAGTCTTGCTAAATAATAATTTTATGGTAAACTATCTTTCAGAAACAGTATATACTGTATCTACAGCCTTCATCCTCTGTTCTTAACTTTATTGCTTTTAACAGTACCAGTCAAGCCAGCTGGATCTAGAAACATATTTTATAGATTCTATTAACTAATGGGCAAAGGTATGTAAAAAATACAATGGAAATACAATCTTCGCAGTTATGCAGTAATCATTACAAATACCGTACCCTTGAGGAGATAATTTATCCAGCCATCCAGCTTTAACCTTCTTTGCTGATGGTCCATAAAAACAAGCATATGGTGTTATTGACTCATTCACAGTCAAAGCTGGATCTCCATCAAAAGTCCGAAGATGCATTCCCTTACTGACCAAGCAATTTGAATCTTCACTGTGGATTTTACTAGATGATGATAAATGGGATTTCGCTTTACTTTTCTTTTTCTTTAAAGACAAAGAATGTTGTTCCACAATAGAATATACAGATTCACTTTCAAGCTCTTCTGGTAGCACTGCTTTGTTCTCAGAAGACAGAGCTTCACTCCTCACACAGGCCTTTGTCTTCTCTTCCTTGTTGTTAAGGGAACTACAAAGAAAAAAGCACATTTTATTCTTAACGTATTGATAAAATGCTAAAATAAATAAAACTAATAATTAGGATATTTTTTCTTGAGACACATTTATTATATTTTACTTTTGCAATAACCCTAGACCAATGCTAAACATATATTTTAATTACGATCAAAACTGAATCTCCATTTCTCCAATCATTAGGACTGGTAGTAAGACAATACTTGCTAGTTCCTTTGGAGGCCTGAATACTGCAGAACTTCAACTTAAAAAAAAAAAAAAGAAAAGAAAAAGAAAAGAAAAAAGAAAACTTTTTAACTTTTTCATAAAGGTAGTTTTGTCTTACAGGTTTGGGGGGCTTGTAGTTTCCCTCTCTCCCCCTCAATAGGAGCCAGGTACAGACTGAAAATTTAAGGAACCCAAGAGCTGATGTCTCTCATCTGCTCAGACCACTGACCACAGTCACACAGCAGGAGTAGACAATGACTTCATTCACAGTACAGTTAGGAAGTGGCAGAACAAGAAAGTATTCAAACACAGTTATCTAGGAGACAGAGGGTTCAAATGGAAGAAAGTACAGTAATGGCTGCATCTTTCACAGGTAGAGATATCTACAGGATATCAACAAAGATCAATTTCTCCTCCTAAAATTTAAAGCTTTTTTTTTTTAAAAAAAAAAACTCTTATTTAATACCAGCATTCCTTGTGAAAAGAGTGTTCTTCATTCATTTCCAAATCCAATTTATTCTCATAATCCAAGAATTCACTTCCATGAAGTTCCTAGAAAATAAAAATGTATTCAGATAAACATTTGTACTGAAAGACTAGGTGACATTAAAATTACTGCAGACGTGTCACACAAAAATCCCCCAACTAGCAAAGCTCTTTTTGCTGCATTTTAGAATGATATACATTTTTGAAAGATATTTTAAATCAATATCTTAAGAAATATTATTTTCAATATTTCCATTTTAAATAATCATATTCAGATAAACAACAGCAAAAATATTTGAGGAAAGTCCAAAAAAACTGCTGCAGAACAAATTAAAGGAAGAAATTCAATGCATGGAAGTATTAGGGTTTTTTGAAAGTGCAATGAATATTATTTTACAACTGAAATTTTCTAAGGTCAGCAGCTGAATATATATGAAGTATACTGCAAATAATGTACAACTGTTAGTCTGTTTTTACTGTCAATACTTGTTTTCCAGATTAAACATATAGCCTTCAGAATACATGAAGGATAAAGTTATGACAAAATTTGAGTTGCTACAGTAAAACTGCACTCAGACATACAAAATATGTCTAGCATTTTCTTGACTTCTTTTTCCTAAAAGGCACACAGTCTTTTTTGTTATTAACATTTGTTTAGAAGTTTTTATTACCCAACTGCTCACTGTACAAAATGCTGAGCTGAACACTAATAAAGAACATTACATTTTGCATTCCCTAAACTTGATCTGTCAATCTTATTGCATTACTAAGCTTCTCACTCGATACTCATTTTTCTTTCTTTAGAAAACCAAGCTAAAATGAACAGCTTCATGTTTGATAATGGAAGCATTTTAATTTATTCATTTAAGCCTTGAAGTATATGTCATGAGGCTGAAAAGTGAAAAACGAAAAGTGGATAAGCTTTCACGACTATTGCCATTTGTTTTCTGAGAAGCAATACTACATCTTACACTTGAGAGATGTATCTTGGCAACATGAAAAAAGACAAACTTAAAATTTAAGAGCATAGCCAAAAGCTGAATACGTGTAACTACAGCAAAAATTGCAGAAATCACAGGCTGCTGAGAGGCCAATCCTAGGGGAACATTCTGGCATTCTGGCTTCCCCTGCCAGCCAGATCCTTTAAAGAAAAGGAAAGAACAAAAAAAGAAAAAGAAAAAAAAAATGCTATAATGTCACTGTAAAAGATAGCACCAAAAAAAAAAAAAAAAAAAAAAAACTGTAAACAAATTAAATAGCAAATTTAAAAGTGACCTGTCTATTGCTTATCGAATTCTTGCACTGACCAGAATCTCACAAAAGGAGGTAAAGTGGCAGCACCCTGTCCCTGCAGTAGCCAAAAGCCTAATCTGTAATGTATATCTCTAAATAAAATAAAAAGTTTTAGGACCTCTCATCATCCTATGCTGATGAGGATACAGCTGAAGGCTGGTCAAATGGACAAACCCTCCCACCACACCACTGAAGCCAATATCCTCTTCAGCCTCTTGCTCCACACGCCAGGCAAAACTCTCCAATTCCCATTCTAGTTCTTGCCTGTCTCCTTAAGCAATCTTCAATATCTGGCCAGGTGGATTCAGGAAGCCTCCAAACTTCCAAGCAGTCATCAAGAAAAACATTTCTATTGCTAGCACCTTTTAAACATCAGAAGTTCGCAAAGACAAGCTATGGGGAAGGAATATTCTTTTCCCTCTTCACAAAGATACAGATTCTACTCAAACTAAATCCCAAGCACATGCAATAGGATTACTCTGTGAGATGCTCAAACTAAATAAAAGACAGAACTCTCATTTCCTATCTCCTGAAAGTCTCTAAAGTATTATATAAAAATTAGGCAATAGCAGCATTTTCTTCTGCAAACACCTTTACAGAATCACAGAATCACAGAATGGTTGAGGTTGGAAGGGACCTCTAGAGATCATCTCTAGATGACCACCCTGCTCGAACAGGGACACCTAGAGCATGTGGCACAGGGTGGCATTCCAAGTGGATTTTTAAAGAGAGAAGAATTTCTTAAAAGATATATATCACACATACACTCTTGCTGAACATATGTGGTCCTTACATATAAGAAGCAAATACCCTCAAAATAGAAATCAGGTGTCTAAAACCTATGCAAATGATACATACTGCCTACTTTTTTTTTTTTTAAGCTTTGCCTACCAGTTTGCCTTTCCGGTCCCAGGAGCAAGTTAAGCAACCTGAGTGACAAGAGGCACAGCACTTTTCTTGCAGTACAGAGTACAGGGACTCGGGGCACAGGACAGAAGGAATTGAGGACATTCAGGACAGGCACCTCTACTTAAAGAGACATTGCCATAGCCTTTTCTTAAAGCTAATGTCATAACCCCTTCCCAGCTTGATTCTTGAAACATGCTTTGGCAATATGATTTTATAGCAGGGCCATAAAGGTAAAAGTTTCTTCTTTAAAACTGGAACAGCACTGGAACAGGCTGCCCAGAGAGGTTGTGGAGTCTCCTTCTCTGGAGATCTTCAAAACCCGCTTGGACGCAGTCCTGTGCCACGTGCTCTAGGTGACCCTGCGTATGCAGGGGGGTTGGACTAGATGATCTCTAGAGGTCCCTTCCAACCCTAAGCATTCTATGATTCTATGATTCTATGAAAAGGATTAAGAGTTCTCATTTTAAAGTTTCAAGATTTGTATTCTGGCCAGAATCCCCAGTATCACAATGCTAAGGAGCTCATCCAGATTACCCTCCTCAGTATGCACATTTAATTTAGTCCAACAATCTAAGATAAGAAATAAAGCCAATACTTCACTCTTCAGGTCTGAACTCACCAGAATTCCTACAGAGAAAAAATGAATTCTAAAATATTTAAACTGGCCATGATTATTTTTTAGTCTTTATCATTTGTGCTACTACTAAATCAATATATAAATCTGTTTCTTCTTCGGTTTCTGCTTCCAACTGTCTTCCCTCCTGACTGAAGACAAAGACAAGTTTTCTTTATAGCCTTAATTCCTTTCTCCCTCATGGTGACTTACCTCCAGTCTTTAGTGACTCATGACCTGTTTCAACAGGCACTCCCTTATAAAACACTGCCTTTTCTTCTTCACACCACGAGAACAGGAAGAATGTGAGTGGCCAGCTTCTAATCACTTAGAACAAACTTCATCCAGTGAGCTTAACAATTTACTAGACTTTATTATATATATGTGTATATAAACTATGTTCTCAAATCAAGCTATTCCAGAAAAATGAAGCAGCAGTCACATACTAAAATCTCAGATGCAACATTACAATGTTTAGATAAACTTGCTTATTTGTTCCTAGGACATTTGATATCTATTAAATAAAAATATGAAAGCAAAATACAACTTAGGTCCTTTTTTATGGCTTTTCTTTACAACTTTCCTCTACAGTGTTCTAAAAGAACTGAAGTTAACCATGAACTTTCCAAAATGCATGTTATAAATAAAACTTGGAAGAAGAAAATTAACTTACATGAAATGATAACTCATATCTAAATCTTCAGATCAGAGAAAGCATGTTGTAAAATTCTACATTGAGATTCCACGACTAGCAGAAATAACAATTCAATTTCAACAGTTAATCTAGTTTAATGGTACTGTATTTTTGTACTTAGTGGCTTTACAACATAAAAACTGCTAACAAACTTTCTGGGTGGGTCTTATTACCAAACATCTCAAAAACAATACAGAATAATACTAAGGAATAACAAGAAGGCTAGAAAGCTTTTTTGCCTGCTTATGTCATCAAACTAAATCAGAAGTTCTATCTTGTATCTTTATGTCACCTGGCACTAGTAAGACATTATACAAAAAGAAATAAAAAGAAAGCTCAAAAGTCACCCTTATTAATCACATTAAATGAAAAGAAAGAACACACAAAAACGCAGGTCATCTACATGCTTCTAAACCACAGAGGCAACAATTCCTGGTTTGGTGCCCTGCTAAATCAAAAGTAGGGTTTAAAAAAAAAAAAAAAAAGACACATAAACACATTTCACAGATGCCTCATTAGCTACTGCACCTCCCAGCACTCAGTACCAGTCAAAAGTTCTCAGGATATCTTGGACATTCATACCTTCTGCTACTCACCGCAGCAAAAATATTTTGCTCTCCTCCAAGAATCCTACATCCAAAGTTCATTACTGGGCATACAAGAAGTTTGGAGATGCATGACAAAAACCCAAGGTTTCATAAAAGAGCAATTTAAGGGCATATAGCCAAAAGCAACTGTGAAATCACGAAAGGTAAGACGTAAGCTGCTGCCATAGGATCCCTACAAGCCTTTGTAGAGATGACCACTCTTGATCTGCAGTTATCACAACAGAAAAAAGCCACTTTGGTCTTTATCAGTCAAGTTGTAATGGTTAACCACCATTAACCTCACTTAAGAACTTGCCTCTGACAGTTTCACATTACATAGCACAGCATGTAGCTGCAGGTGCAATAAAGTCAGATGACTATCTACCTGCCTTTTTTTTTTTTTTTTTTTTCGAAAAAAGAAAAAAAAGCATAATAGCCCACAAATACGTATGCTATAACTTTTGTACATGTACTAGACAGGATAGAAAAGGCACTTAGAATTGTAAAGAGAAAAGGAGAAAAGAGTTAAAGGCAGTGAATAACATGAAGATTAAAGTGAAGATAGATCATTTACATTGAGGCTTCTCAACTTACTTTAGCATTGTTAGGGTTGTTGCAAAGAAAGGTTTCTCCATACGGAGAGATGATGGGTGGCTTTTCTTCTGTGAAAGTATCTTAAAACAAGCAATAATAATAATATGGATGTGTATATATATTTAAAATATATGCAAACACAATAATATACATAAAAACTTTAACAAGGAATTGCATTATAAAATCAACTGCATCAACAACAAATGTAATGCAGACTTTTCTGGATGTGATTACTCTATCCTTCTCAGAAAAAATAAGAGTTTCTTTCTGCAATTGACTAGTAGCTGACCTAGAAATTTGCTTTGATCAATTCAGTGAGTTAATTAAATCTTTTAAGGCAAATTAGTATGTGGAAAATTCTTTTTTCATGAAAATGTCAAAAATCACTTATTCCCCAAAACTCCAATCATGCCCTATAAAAGGAGGAGGTTTGGTGAAAAATCTTTATAAGAATTTTTGTTCTACAAACAAGTTGAAATGTTCCTAGAAACAATGTGATGCAGGAAGCAGACTATATCCAAAACAATCTCAGGTCTCATTCAAGGTCTTCAGAGGTCAAGGAAGACAGAGAACATGTGTATGGACAGCAACTAGGAGAAACTAGAAACAATTTCCAATTTCTAGCTGAAACATAGATGCTTTTTTCCTCCGTTATTATTCTTACTATTTCCTTCAAATTTACTCTGTCTTAAAGGTAAATTACTTGGACATAACTTGTATTCTGCAACAAGTTTTATAAAATTTAATTGCAAGTGTCCTTTATTCTGCCTTAAAAAAGATTTTTTTTTGGCACAAATTATTTGTTTGAAATTAACATGAGTGAGTTTAAACAAGACTGACTTCTACAGTAATAAAGAAGTTCTGTTGACAACCGATTGGAGAAGACTTCTAACCTTTTTGGTAAACTATTAATTTCCTAATATTTCATTGAACTTCAAAATTTACTAGCACATTAAATAGCATTCAATATAGAATACTCTCTTCAAATATTTTATTACAAAGGTAATTCTGTTTTTAAAAAAAAACTACACAATCATGTAAAATTAACATATTCTATTTTTAAAAGATATATTAAAGTAAATGGTTTTTAAACCCTGGATTTTCTAATTTTCATTCCATTGTTCAAAACAGCTCATCTCAGTAAAAATGCAGAAGTGGCTGAGTGCTCTGATATTACATACATTACTGTCTTCGGCCTTTCCAGATTCCTGGTTTTGCTAAAAAAAAATAAGCAGGTCAATACTTATTTTAGACAACTCTTGGTCTGAGGTTTCTTTTTGTTCAATATTCAAGATGCAGACATCAGCATGCTTGACTCACTTTTCTGTGAAATCTGTCTTCCAGTACAAGCTATATTTAAAAGCTCCACATTTCTTCTTTTCTGAAGGGAACTCAAATAAAACAAAACACAAAATAAAAACATTAAGTGAAATTTCCCAGAAACCAAACAAAAGCATCTTAGGTTGACTATTAAAACCACAGACAGATAAATAAATAGTCAATTTAATTCTTTGAAATTCTATAGAGTTATCCAACAACTTGTTTTTCCTCCCATTAGCACAACTAATACCCCTGTGATCTGAATATAAATCTTGGGATTTTTCCCTGTGGTTTTGAATTGGCCTTATGATACATTTAGAAGTCTGGAGTTCTCTGCCCTCACGCTCCCCCTACTTCTCCCTCCTTTACCCTCACTTTTCTCACATGCTGATTCATAAGGACTACATTTAAAGGACTGTTTACAATGCAAGTCAACACCTAACATTAACCTCAAAGGAACCCGGAAATCCAGCAAGGACAGAATTACCTTTTAGAAGGGAAAGCAGCAACGTACATAACAATATAGTTATTAATGCAAGTATTTGGAAGTAACAGGTGATAAGAAATAGATGCTCTGAGCCACTAGGGGGAAAAAAAATCTGGAAAGTACTGAATCCCAGAATTGATTTGTTTTGCCAGAAAGCTTTCAATCTGAAACATACATGAAATTGCTTTGCAGTTGCCTGCCACTGCCATTTCACATTTGGCAGATGAATGTATATCCCCACACACATCAGAAAAGTGATTGTATATTTACTGTTGTGCTGCCCTCTAAGTATTTCAACATTTCCACTCTTCATGCTGTTAAAAAAATCACACCATTATTATTATTGAGTTCTCAGGCTGAAGCAGAAGCCTTAGCAAATAGGAAGAAATAAATATGCTTGAGGCAGAATGCTTCTAAGCCATCTTTACCAGTGCAATAATTAGTTCTAGTGCTGTATTTAATCTAAGCTCTGATTTGCCCTTTTAACATGAAGAACTCCTCCATGCTTCATTTCTCCTGCTTGAACTAACAGCAATATAGATCCTTGTCTATCCTTTAAAATTATTCACTGACTGGTAAATGCTATACAAAAACCTGCAAGTTTTTTTTCTCTAAAAAAAATTCACAAGTCTCCCATCTCTCAAAGCCAAAGACATCAATATTTTTACCAAAATTACCAATATTCCTAATTTCTGTTTCCCCCAATATATCTGTTGAGGGAAACATGAAAAAGTCCTATGAAAAAGTCCAAGTTGAATTAGTCCGTTATCTATTGATATTTCTCTGCGATGGAAGGCATACATTTATAAATGCCAATTTTTTATCATTAGCATTTTTTAATCATACAAATGCAGCTAAACCTGCCCAAAATAATTATTAGCTTAAGCTCAAGACAGAAGCTGCACCTTACCACGTTGTTTGACATCTCAGGTATCATCCAGATACAATCAATTAAGTTCCGCAAAGGGACCTTGGAAAGTCCTGATTTTAGGAAACAAGGAATCAGTTTGCCTAGCTGAGTTGGATCACAGCCTACCTCCAATACAAGTTTGCTTACTCTCCCAAGTTACAATAATAATACCACTAATAATAATAATAAGAGTCTGCATTTCTTCAGAAGTTTTACTGAAATTCATGTAGCTGCATCTTCTCAAACTACATTGAAGAACTTTGTGCACTTGCACTAACCCAATTTTAAATAACTAGGTATGTCTAAAGAAAACATACTTTAACATAGTCCTACACAGACAGGATAGGACTGTTAGTTTTTTAAAGGATATTAGTAACATTAAAACACATTAGAGAGATACAGATAAGCAGCTTTCACTTTAAGAACTTTCTCACTTATGGCTTTCTTATATAAAACAGTGAGTCACTGCCTTAGTTTCAGGGTGGAAGGATTTAAAAGTGAGCAATGGTTGTGAGTCAATAATAATACTGATAAATTCATCAGGAAAGGAAAAATAACATACAAGCTTGCAAAAATCAGCATTCTTTTTTTTTTTGTTGTTGTAGTTGTTATTAGGTATACATAGATATGCATTCCATAATACGTGATAAGGAATCCTGTTAATAAGCCAACTGTAGACATTCTTTTCAATCAAATCTAAAATATCTTAGGGAGTTTTGGAAAATAAAGTTCTAATAAATGCCAAATAGAAATTATCTCAAGGAACAAAAATAAACAGAAGCAGCTTATTTTGAATATCTGTTTGATGTAGAGTAAGCATAACAAACAGGACATAGTGCAAAAATTAGTAATCTTTCGTCAATGCTAAACTACTGCATAAATCACATTTTTGGGTTAAAAAGTGCAAAAATGCCCTTATTTAAGGGTAAACAAGATTTTTAAAAAAATCTTACTGAAAATTCTACAGGAGCCCATGGCTTTCTTTAACATTTTCCAAAATTTAATGCCTCTTCAGAGTAAAGGTTTTTTCCTGTTTTGCTTTTTGCAGGAAGGTGAGCGCAGGAAGGCTGCCAAGTGCCACCCTTACGGAGGCAGGTTCATGGTTTCGATGAGATTGTCGCCTTGTGGCCATTGCGGAGAGCGAGGCCCGCGCTCCGCGCGCACTCACACAGGAAGCCGCCCGGGCTGCAGCGTCCTCCTCGGCACCCTGCCCTGTGCACAAACAGGATGGAGGGGTGCGACGAGCGGCGGCTGCCATGGCTGGAGGCGAGAGGCTCGAAGGTGGGAGCTCAGCACGTGCCTGCATCAAATTCTTCCAGTCAATATATTCCTACCGTCTCCCAGATGAAGCAAGGCAGAGTTCAAAGCAAACAGTTGTTCCAAGCCTTTCTTGGCATTCGACTGCAGATTGCCTTAGGTGAATTAATTTTGTTTTCCAAATCACTGAAAATGCGTTTTCTCTTCTACCCAGCTCAAGATTCCCCAGCTCACCACACTCTAATGCAAACAGGTCAGAACTTCTCCAGGAGGCTGTATTACTACAATTTGGGGGTTCAGAGACTGCTTGCAAAGGTAAACTGATGCAAATATTTGGCCATTGGAAAATGAGATAGAGCAACTGCTCTCTCAGAAAACTGTTCAACAACACATAGAGTAAAAACATGTGGCAGCACTAGCTCGGGCACCCCACTGGATTAAGAACAGAGTCTAGAGAGCATCAGCACAAAGTTTCATCTTCAGGATGAACTTCTCAGGACAAACAGCTTTTTCTCTCTTCCTCTCTCTTCTCCTCACTGCCTTTTCTTAACACAGCATTTTTCAGAATTTGCGTTTTGTTTATCTCTTTGTTTAAAAAAAAGAAGACCCAGAGCAATCTCATTACCAAACGCTAGAAATAATGTAAAGCTGGAGGATATGAGAAATCTAAATGCATATGGAGTCCGTTGATCTGAAGTTTCATCTGTGTAGTATTTTGGAGAGCAATTATGTCCCCCATCTTACAAATCATCATAGCATTTTCCTCTAAAGGGACTGTATGTGCAACAGCAGCACTTTCACCTAATACTGGTTGCCAAATGATACGCTGCAAAACAGCATTCAAAGCTGAAAATTATCTCTATACTGATCACCTCTATAGCGAGTATATCCCTCACTACTACAGTGAGGCCAAATATACTTTAAAGAATCACAAAAATCAAAATATTTCCAGCCTTTAAAAAGCCATGTCATCTTTCAGGCCAACAGTACGTTTTTTTGAAGTCAAGAGCCAGGAGCACAAGCAAGACACAGTGAAGCAGATGTAACTGCAAGGGGGCAAGCACATTATTAGTAATAAAATGTGACATGGTCTCAGCACTGCTACCAGGCACCAGGATATCATGAGAAAAGCATTTCCTTGCATAGAAATTTAATGACAAATATCTATGCCTGTCTAAAAACAAATGCTGAGTTAGCTTCCCAGTAGAATTTCAGCTAGATTTCTCTTTCCCTAAAAGGTTTCACACAACCTAGTAAGGGTAGCCAGAGCCTGTCAATAATAATCACATGAGAATATAGTTTTCAGTGCAATTCTATGGGAAAGACTGGACTTTCCAAAGGTTAAGGATGCTGAAATGTGTAATTTTTGAATTTTGTTTTAATCCTCTGCCTCAAAGAAAAAAAAAAAGGCAAAAATTTAACTTCACAGAACCATTTTTGATTAAATTCTCTTTTGAAGTTTTGAGGGAGCCTTGATCTCCCTCAGACAGACTGCTGCTTGTCCTCTAGGATTTCTATACTGTTATAGCTGGAGCATAAATGAAGAAAAAAGGTCAGAGTCAGCAAATCAAAACGGTGGGGACCTGCTCAAACACAGATCAATAAGAGACTGGGATCTAGAGGATTTACTTCAATGGAAGGGACACTATAAACACAGCATCTGCCCAGCATCGGCTGTTGCTCAAAAAAGATAGAGCATTCTTTTAGTTGTCAGGTATTGTTATCTTTTAGCACTAGATTCCCATTTCAGCTCAGCAAGAACAGTTTTACTGTACAAAGTAGGAATAAACACCCCACAAAATGTTAATGTAAAGCTGCTCCCCCTTGGAAGATTCCAATTTTGAGGTTTTACTTAAGTACTATTTTATTTTGTGCATGTATTTTAAAAATACACAGAAGAAACTTTTTTAAATTAAGGCACACAAGAATCTCTTAGTTGTTGCACAGAATCTTTGCCTCTCTATTTCTTCAATGAAACAACTACATTACAACATTTTAATATTAAGCTTATTTCAAAGAGCTAGAAGAAGCCAACAAGAACATTAAAATGCTTAGGAAAACCCTGCATTTAGGGCAAGTATAAACTCGTTAACAACGTTTCTAACTGCTGAGATATGCGGATGAAAAAGCACAAGATAAATACAAAACATTCTCAGACATGTCCCTTCCGGGCATAGCCAGTGGATAAAAAAAAAAAATTGGCAAAAAAAAAGTGCAGTCTAATGATTTGGACAGGGCTACACCACCAAAATTTGGCTTATGTATTTGCATATTTTTTCTACTCTCTTGAGAGTTACCCAGTATGATGAGTAAAACAATATAGTCAACATAATCAAAAATTTCATAAATCTATGAGCAGACTCTGTTTATACAGTCAATAATTTTGTGCCCAACAGCACATTCATGGTCTCTTATTTTTAAGATCATCCAATATTAGGACTTTCTTGAAACTGAATTTTACACCAGATCTTTCTTCTGCTCTTCATCATGTTTTTGAAGGACAAGCTACAGCAGCTAATTTTTATTTAAGAGACTAAGTGTTACTCATTGTGGATTCAATTTAGAAACTCCAATTTAGAAACTCAACAATTTTGAAAGGAAAAAAAAATCCACACCCACACCGCATGAATGCTTTGAAATAAATTCAAACTCTCCTATGCTACTTATCATAAATAACAAACTCTATTTTCTCAACAACACTGAAACAAATTATCCTTCTAAAGATCCCCATGAACTCTGAAAAACTTCTATCCAGTGCATACAGCCTTTGTAATTTGGCATATGGAATGTCCTTTAACTGAAGTATCTTTTCTTCAGCCTATAAAATTCCAGTTAAGTTTTAGGTCTCCTTTTCTTCCCCATCCGCCTCTTCCTTTGACCTGGAATGCCTCAAAAAGATTTTTATAACACATGCGTCATGTTATTAGACCAGCAGCAGAAGCCACCACCTCACATTACCAGCTTGCTGCATTTGTTCTCTGACTAATAAACATCCAGTTTAGAAAAAAGTCTAAGTCATCATGACAAAAGTCCGCACTTGAGACCCACAGTATAATTTCCTCCTCCGTGAAGTATCCTATTCTAATTTAAAGCAACGTAAATAACATTCCAATGCAGTCATGTTCTTTCATGCTAATGCTTAATATTCTCATGTAATCATCATGTCATGCCCATGCCTGTAATCATATCAGAGAGACCTGCTCCCTGCTACATCATACAATGCACGAGTCCTCTAAATTTTGCTTTACTAAAAAAACCTACATTCAGAAATGTGGTTGTGTAAGACTTCCTAAATATTCCTTACAAATTACATTAATATTAAACATATTTTCAAGAACATCTCTTAAAAGATACAACCCTAAAAGATAATATAACATTAATACTGATGTTTCACAATTGCAAAAGTTGTCTAACAGTCAAAATAGATTTTATACTTTAGGATGAATTTTTAGCTGTGTGAAAATCATGATTTTGTTTCCTCTCCTGGATCAGAATGTTACCAGAAACACTGGGGCTAGTATATAGTTAATAGTATTAGTAAAGACTTGATTTGAAATAGAGGGAATGACCTTATCTGTTATTTTTCAGTTTGTTTTTATTAAAAAAACACTATTTTTTCCATTTATCCTCTCTAAGATCATACTGATTCATTTTCAAAACTGCTTGATACAATCATGTGTTTAATGCAGGTTATTTTTAAGGAAGAAAGAATCCTTTCCTTGAAAATAAGTTCAGAAGCAGATGATGGAAGGGGGTTATAAGACTGTTCTAAAAGTCAATTTCCCTTTTTACTCCCATTTGCACTTTTAACTTGCACAGTGGATAAATCCTTTTTGATTAATCTGGCAGCATTCATTCCAGACACAGTCTGCCTGCTTTAAAAAAAAAAAAAAAAAAAAACAAAAAAAAAAAAACTACAAAAAGAGACATAAAAGACCATGATCTATAATTTTTAAGATGGCAATTATTTTTCGTAAAAAGAAATAAAAAGTTACCTTGATAAAGTTTCAACTTTACTTGAATCTGGGATTTCTGGAACAGGTCGATGCCTTAAAATAAAAGACCGGCTTGTTCTTGGAACAGCTTTCGTGCAGCTTTGTGCACAAGAATCATATAAGTCGTTGTCTATCATTTCTCCTTTAAACTGAAAGAATGGAGAATTTGGCTCACTGTCAGATAAATTGTCCTCATCTGCAAACATCGGCTGTTTGTTTTCACTGGATTTTGTCTCACATGAATAAGCGAACGAAGGAGGAGGATGGGAAAATGCTGAATGGCCATCCAAGTGCTCATCAGCTTGGTATGCAGCAGCTTCTTCCAGTGATGCATCCGGCTGAGCATTCGTTTCAATACTTCTACTTAGATTGATAGCTTTTAGTATGCTGTCTGAATTCTGGTATAAACTAGAAAATTCCAAATCTGTAAAGTTATCATCTTTTCCCTCCGATAAGTTTTGCTCTGCAAGCTCGAGCTTGCCTTTACCAACATGACTTTTATTAGCAGGTTGTACTGGCAACGTTGCAGATATCAAGCTGGTTTTTGCAGACCCATCTACATTTAAATCGCTTATTGAGGATTCCTGATCCGAGGACGAACATTGCTTCTCCTCTAATCCTTTCAAGTCTTTGAGCTTTAGATTTTCAGAGAAAATATATTTTTCTTGCATTTTTAAAAAAGTGGTATCCAACTGCTTAAGAATCCTCCTGCGGTGCCCAGTAGGCAACACTCCCATTTGCTGAAGCACACTGTTACTCATTCCCACACAATCTGTCACCATGTTATAGCCATGTTCTTTAAAGTTTGAAAGATACTGTCCCAAGTTAATGTTGACCAAGAATTCTTCGATATCAGTGCCATTGCCCATGGAAGACATGATGACAGCTTCATTCCGAATATTGCCCCACACAGTCATGTAGGAATACAGACAGGATGTGAAGACATTCCCTAGCAACAAAACTCTGTAAATTCGTTGTCAAGTCAGCCAACAGAGAATATCCTCTTCTTCACAAGTAGGCCTCTTCAGTGCATAATGATTTGCAAACCTGGAGGGAAAAAAAAGAGCAGTAAGAGGCAGAACTGCATTGGATTTAGAGGCCTGAATTCACACTAATCTTGCACAAAATTCTGATTTTTTAAATCACTTATATATGTACATTTCAAGCAGGTAAAGAGCATAACCTCTCCACCCTTTTGTCCTGACCTCTATGACGAAAAAAGCAAAATCAAAGTCTTAGCACAAGTCACATGATTTTAAATATATAATCCTAGCAATTCATGAAGGGTGGACTACTTAAAAACAAACATACACTTTTTAAATAGTACTTGACTATACACAGAGAGAAAAGAGAATCGGATACCAAAGCTTTGCCCTTGCACTGCTGGCATTTAAACAAGAAACTTCAGCCCAGGGCTTCTACTTACTCATCTTATGAGCCTTGCACTCTTTTTAGCACAGAAACACTTTTTTTTTTTTTTTTCTCCTCAACTGAAAAAAGCAAAAACCACCAACTAAAGCATTCTTTGCAAAGCAGAAGCGGTGGCTTCCAGCCACTTTTTTTTTTCTTTTTTCTGTTTGAATATGTGTTTCTGTGCTAAAAAAAAAAAAAAAAAGGAAAAACCACTGCCTAAAGCATTCTTTGTGAAGCAGGAATTGTGCCTTCAAGTCCTCTTCAACTAAAGATCCTCTTGAACAAGTGATGCAATCAATAAAATATTATGCAAAGCTAGAGACCCTTCAGAACATGTCTTGGGGAAAAAAAAGGTGGGGGGGGAGGGTCCCTAACTGCTCAACTAATCACTGTCAGCAGGCTGCGGAGGTGACCAAAGGCAGACTCTCAGATCAGACCCTTCAAGGAACTGTCACAAGGGAGACTAGGAAACAGGCAATTCGCGCTTCACCACCGCCAAGGAGGCAGTTGCCCTGCACACAAGCAGGGCGAGGAGCACACAGAAGCAAGTTTTGGCCTCCAAACTAGGGATCCTTGGTATTTCAAGTCCAGGAGGGCTTTTTCCTCACTTTTTTTTCCTTCCGATTCAGCTCTTACACTCTCCAGATCCTATCTATTTCAGCTCTTCTCTCTACTGTGCCATAGCCAGGTCCAAATTCATGACTTACACAACCCAAAGCAGGTAGAGAGGCTGCCATCTGCCTGAAACTGTGCCTTTAGAGAAGGTTTAAGATTAGCAGCAGGCAACAGGCTTTTTCTCCTCCTCCTTCCTGCTTAAAGGGTAATTTAGCCTAAGGGAAACCTACTGACAGAGCAGCTGTCCTGGCATGCAGGTACTAGCTTGAAAGCAGTCTGGGAAAGAAAAAGCTGCTTTGGTAAACTAAACATAAGACTAAAGGTAGCAGTTTGGAAGAAAAGGAATTATAGGCCCAGAATATATCCATGGCTGTAGGAAGGGACACTTACATTTTTCAGAATATTTTCCCCAAAAAGAATAATACCTAACAACTTAAAATGGAAAGTTTGTCCATTTTTTTTTGTATTGGATGAGTTACTCTGAAGTAAGGAAAACAACCCATCTTGTAAGATATCCCTAATAACTTTTGAGCAACTTTTGACCAAACCAGTACGCAAACAAGGAGTCAGAAATAAATCTTGATGTCTCTCTTTGTTCTTGAAGACACATACAATCAAATATAAATTTAAAATCAAGGAACACTTGTTATCACTGCTATCAGGGACTGATGATTACGAAATAACTAGTTGGGTCACTAGAAGTCTTTTTCTTGGATAGTTTTATAAATATCTTTCTTACTCATACTCATAAAAGAAACTAATGAAGAAGAGGATAAAAGTATAGGGAAGAGCAAAATCTCTCTACATTTAGGCCATAAATATCTGAATAAAACTGTGAATAATGGCAGGAGGAGGAGGAAATGCTTGAACCAATCTACATCTTCCCAGAAGACATAAAAGCAGTTACTATAAGTGTTCCATTAGAAATAGTTTTTTCAGAAAAATTCTTTAGATTCTTGCTATTTCCTTAACTTCAGTTTTGGAGCAATATTTCTTCTCAGCTTTGATCTCTGCCCACAAATCTGAGAAGAAATGACTTACTATCTTGAAAAAGAAGAGCAAACAACTAGAATTATTTCAGGAGATAAGCCAATCGGATAGCAAACTCTCAACAAAGTTGAGGTTTGCCATGGAGCTAGCCCTCACTAAGAGATTTCCAAGGCTTTTTGAAACACACAGACTTGAATTGAGCTAAGTTGATTAACAGTCAACTTCTGGATTTTACTTTTGGCCTTTCTCAGTCCGAGTACTTATCTGAATACTCCTCTCCCCCACTCCCCCCCACCCAAAACTGCAGGCGTCAGCATTTTATCAAACTTTTCAAGAGTCTTTTTTTGAGAGGTAACATTAAATAATATTGCCTGTCACTCATCCTTGAATCCTGAAACATCCAAACATATATATATATTTGTACACACACAGACATATTCTTTTAAGAGATGAAGCTGCATACAGATAAAGGATGTAGGTATTACATTACAGAAATTACTACAAAGTATCAGGCAGGCAATAGAGAAAAGAGTGTTTCACCTCCCTAGCCAGAGAACATAAAACATACCTTTGCAAAGTACATAACTCCTTGAAATATTATTATATCAGTCCAAGTGCTTCAAGAATGAGGTTGAAATTGGTTATTTCAACCAGTTGCTTCTTCCCTGGTAGTTCTGGGATCGAGGTTTTTGGTCCTGCACCACCCCTTGCTGGCCTCCCCAGGGGAAAGAGTTATTGCTTGTTTTTGGAGAGTATCACTCTAACACACTCACCAATCCTCCCATTTTCAGCAATAATCAAAAGGCACGGACAAAAGTGCTATTGTTTACTTTTCAGTCTCTTAAGCATTTTTTCTCCCCACAAGCAGTAGCTTTCCTACTGCTACTAGCTTTGCCAGACCTTATTCTGGAAGGCATCCAGTCTGATTACTTCAGGAACTCAAGTAGCCGCAGACAATCAGTTGTGTGGATCCTAACCTGTCTTTACACAAACCACAGCCAATTACTCAGCAGAGAACCAACTTTGGTTTACAAACACACAAAATGCCATTATTTTTGCAGCGTACTTTATGAGGAAATATATAGCAGCCTGAGAGAGGAAGAGACCGTTCACTGAGAAGACATTTTGACTGCAAAGTAACAGCATACCAGAAGCTGAAGCCAAAATCCTCTTTTGTTTCACTAGTAACTCACAGCAGAAGCTGTCAGTGCATCCACCAAGGCTTCTGAAGCAGTGCTACAGAACTGACTTACATATGCAGCTGGCAAAATGTCACTAAGTTTACCATCACACACATTTGCAGGTGTGAGGAAAGAGTTGCACTGACACTTGCTTCGGTTAGATTCCCTGGAGGAAGACTCCAGTAACATGCACCTAAAGGAACCTATACACATTGGCATAGCTTCATATTACAGGCTAAGAGATAAATACCACTGCTTCCTACTTTGCAACTTTTTATTCTTGTTAAAGGTTTAAGCTCAGAAAGGATACAGAAAGATAGAACTCCAGAAACACTTTATCAATCGAGATACATGTAATTAATTCAATCTGTGCCTTTGGTTGGTATTATATCCCCCATAGTTTTAATTACAGAATCATAACAAATACTAATTATATATATCAGCATAATGTATATGTGTATAACATATATACACACATGTTTATGTGTTTACATAGCTTTACATACATATTTGTATCAATAAGTCTATTTATAAGTAAACAATAGTCTTGAAGATTAGTTCATGGAGTTGCATACATTCTGTATCTCAACTTCAATTAGAAGCCAAACTTTTACAGATTTGCCCATATTGCTCAGAAAAATAACAAAAGAGCAGAGGGGAAAAAAAAAAAAAACAACACGAAGGGGAATTTGTTCTTGCTTAAATAAAACTGATTCTTGCTGCATTATCATAACCTTCACTATAAAGTAACCAGACAAAACTCTAACATTCAAAATACTATTTGAAATGCTACAGTGAGTACCAAGGAAGAGGCTTTTCTGAAGATACTTGACCATCCTGTTTTATAGAAATAAGGATACAATGCCCAAAACACAAAGTGGAAATAAATAAAAAAAACGCATACACACAAAACAAAGGAAATCATTTCAGACTCCCTTCCAAGAAAATACAATTTGGCACAGGCTGGATTGCAGATCCCAAGTCTTCCTTGGGATCATCCAGCTTTCTTCCATAGAAGATGATGTTGCAGACAAGTCTTTTCCTAATGCTATTTTCACATCCTTACAGAGAGACTTAGACACCTAGAGGCAAGAACACAGAGCAGAGTAATAATTCTCTTTGTTTTGCAGAAAATGTCAGCTCTATCCTCTGCATGTCTCCTGCGTCACAAATGACAACAGCGGCACAGAATGAAAAAAAAAAAAAAAAGACAAAATTTTCAGGACATTTCCTCACACACAGGGTGTGTTTAACACTTCAATACATAAACAGTATTGTATTGCATATAAGAACAGTCAAGTAAGTTTTCTTTTTTTTCCAAGATCACAGCCGATATTAGCTTGCTTAAAAAAAAAAAAAAAAGTGTCAAACTTTTAGAAGTATGTGGTAATATAATCACACTTTAAGTGATTGGTTCAATAAATACAAACTCAGGCTTCCTGACAACTTTTCTACCCACACACTAGATGAAATCCAAACAGATAGAGATTAACAAAACTACTAAAACAGGTCCAGCCACAGAACGAAATGAAAGCTGATAGCAGGTAAAACTCATTTTCCCTTGACTTGACTGCATATGATCTAACTTTACTAAATGGCCTAAGAAGTGCTGTAGATCATCACAAATCTTTGCAATGTTCTACCTAATGCAAGCAGCATCCCAACTGCATGCTCAAAAAAACTCTCAAATGACCTTTTTAAAGCAGTTACTTAGGAGGCAAGATTCAGGTAAATACAGAACAAGACAGCCCACTGCAACTATTTGGATACAGCCATTTTCCTTCCTAGTGCAATAACGTTACTAAAAGCAGCTCTGTGTAAGG